ATATATATATATATTTATAATCAAGTCAGGGAACAGTTGTGATTAAAAAAGTTTATTGGATATTTGTATTTTTCTTCCTGATGATTTCCTATTAAATGATGTGGGAGTCAAAGATTTACAATTGTATACAGTATATAAAACAACTCTGAATCGAAAGAACTGCTGAGTGCTGAGTTGCTACATTCAGTACTGAGTGTATCAGGAGTTCATGATCCTAGCTTGGAGGAAATGAGTCGTGATACAAGTCAGCGATTCGAATCATTTCACTGATCTAAACCAAATAATTTGAATCACTAAAAAGAATCACTTTGCACAAGTCTACTGATCATTGTTGCACACCTATTTATGCTGCATTCGGGCAGCTCAAATGTAAGTTTGGCTTTGTTTTGAATAAAGTTGGTTGATATACTTTTCCTTGGCAGTGATTCTTGTTAGTTGTGGTTGCTGAGCAACAGGAAGGAAGTGTGAGAGCTAAGCACTGTGGGTAAATGAAAGTGAGGCTTGGTTTTCAGGAAGAGCACACAGAGTAACATCGTGGGGAAATAGAACACCAAGTCTGAGAGCAGTGAGAGAGTGAACTGCTTTTCAGGTACTGTCTATTATGATAGAGAGTGAGGAGTGCTGCTGATTTCTGGATGTCATTATTGATTCGTTACACCGACTGGTGCAGAATGTTTGGTGGCTGCTCCTCATTTGTAATAATATATTGGGGGGAATTTATCAAAACTGGAGCAGACAAAATCTGGAACAGCTGTGCATGGCAACCAATCAGCTTCTCTATTCAGTTTGTTCAGGTAAGATTTGAAAATGAAAGTGAGAAGCTGATTGGTTGTCATGCACAGCTGCTCCAAATTTTGTTAAATTCCCCCTCATCATGTTTTGCAATAAGCTAGTAGACTCCTGTGACATACACCCCAGTCTGATTTAGTCTGCACAGCCGAAGTTTAAGGGGTTGTTTTACCAAAGGCAAATAGGCTGCTCATTTGGTGGTGACATTCACTTTGCAGGTGACATTTCCCTTCGCTTGGCAAATGTGGCAAAAATCCACAGTGCAAAGAATACCCATTCACGTGCAAAGTAAAAAAACAAAGTATTTCTGCTTGCACATGATTCGGTGATGGAGATCAGCAGAGCTTCACCTCATTCTTTAAACTAAGGGGAATCTTCACCTGGCAAAGTGCATATTCCCTTGCAAAGTGAACAGCCTATTTGCCTTTAGTAAATCAACATGTGTCAGCTAAGTGGATTGAGCGCCGTGCGGCTTGCTGTGCAATTTGCTTTGTAGATGGCTCATTTAGTAAGGATCAGTGTAGCTGATGCACATGCTATGACTTGTAGATGTATACTACTCTAATATACTAATGCTCAGCTTTTTTTCTTTCATTATGTGTAGTATATAAGGCTTTATATTCAGTTTATTGATGTATATAATAGAGAGCAGTGCAAAGGAAGCTTAGTACTGACAATCTGTTTCTCTAATATTGTTTTGTATACAGCAGGGACGTGCGGTCAGGGGAGGCAGAGCCTCACCTAGTATTATGAAGAAAAAAGGTGTCGGCTTCAAGTCTGAAGCTGACCGCTTTTTCTCCATTCAGAGCGGCTTGTAACAGGTTACAGAGCAGGGAAAGCCTCCCCGCTGTGTAACCTGTCATGGACGGAACGCTGCCTGTTAAATGGTCCCCTTTTTTAAAAATTATTTATTGATAAAACCCCCCCTCCACCACCTTAATGCAAAATACAAATTAGATTTACTTATAGAGCAAAAGAGTTAATGAAAATACCGTACTTACCTTACCCCGCTTCTACCCATGGGACCTAGGTAGGAGTGAGGTCTGCAACCTTTGGTACAGCAGGAAAACGTGGCTGTAAGGTAAATATATAATTTTTTTTTCCTCCAGTTTTTTTTTTTTCTTTTTTATGCAGTGTTTTGAGATAGGGGACCTAACTAAATAAGCAGACCATGTACAGTTTAAAGCTGAACTCTAGAATAAGCAAATATTGTCTAAATACAAGAGGCATTTCTATTGAAACTCAGGGCATTTGGTTTATTTCATCCACTACTGTGTAGTAATTCAGTGTGAAACTTTTCCTCTTTACCGTAGCTTCCTGTAATAAAGACCAGTCACTGCTGCTCTTTCTCCTTGTGCAGGATGACTGGTCTTGTCTCCGCCCCTCCTGTAGTTTTCTGCTGACAGTCTATAGTAGGTGGAGCTGCCGGATCCCTCCCACATCTCTGCTTTCTGCACTGGCTATGTGCAGCACACTGCTGATGTGACTGTTACTTCTGCAAGGTAATAACTGGTTTTGGAAAGACATTTGGTGCACGCAAAGTGGATTTATATCCTTTGCGACTATTGAGGAATATTTTTAAAGGAGTACTATATATAACCTCATAGTTAGAGCCGACCTCTGACAAAGAAGCTGTCACAGGTTGGCTCTATCGATCGGGAAGCAAGCAGAAACATGCACCGATCCTCCGGGCACAGCTGGCTCTGCCTCTAGATAGGCAGAGCCCGCTGTCACTCACGCAGCTGCATGAATCCCGACAGGATCTGTCCCAGCTGCGGCTCTCTGTTTATCGCTATATACTTAGAGCTTTGGGTCATGGGAGGAGGTTAGTATATGTCCTCCCGTGACACTAAAGAGAACTATGGGGAAAAACACTCACCCAAGAGTTCTCTTTTAAATGATAGTTTTTATGCCTGCAGTTCATCTTTAAGAACGAGAAGATAGTCTACAAGGCTGGTTGCAGTAATCAGTGGGTTTATTCAAATAACGGCACCAAATACAACGGGTATCAGCTAATGTCTTGATGAGATTTGTACTAAGGGTACTTAACCATAATTTATAGATGCAGTATTAATCACTGACTCTACCCACATAGAGGTATGCAACAACGCCTGGCAGGAAAAAAACCCAAAATTTTTTATTCTGCCAGTGGTAAAGATGCACAGGGGAACAAACAATTGTTTAAAAGACTGACAATTTTCTTTGCACATAATCTGATTTTTTAGAAGACTTCTTACTTTGCGTAAGTGTATGATAAGGTTTATTAACCCCTCAGGGAAGCCTATCTCATCTCAACATAACTGCCTTTTACTTTCTCCAATAACTCAATCAAAACAATTATTACCTTTTTGTATCACCTGCCCCTCCTACTAGATTGTAAGCTCTTACGAGCAGGGCCCTCCTAACCCTATTGTACTGAAACTGTATTGTATTGTAACTGTACTGTCTCCTCCATTTTGTAAAGCGCTGCACAAATTGTCGGCGCTATATAAATCCTTTATAATAATAATAAACCCTAGCAAGCATATTTTCTTCAAGCCGCATCAATCTTCTATAGGTAAATAGCCTTTCACTTCACATTTTTCCAAAAGATCTTTTATTTGCTTGTGGGTCTTTAGAGTGAACCAGTAGCCACCATTGGAGTGGCAGTATACAGGGGCAATCTGGACATCTGGAAATGTCTGCATCTATGACAACAGCATGGCTTTATAGTAGAAGAGTCCGGGTGCTTAAAGGAGAACTATGGGGTTCTATCTTTTCTTGATTAATGCATTCCGTAGGCTAAATAAGTAAATTATGTAATTTACTCTAATTATCCAAAATGCACAGTAAGGCTGTAAACCCTTATTTAAGGTGGTGGGCGGGGCTAAGCGCCGCAATGAGGAGACATCCCGACGTGTCTGACGGGATCCTCCCCACTGATCTTCCTCACTGTGACTGACAGTGATTCTTGAGAGCTGCTGCGCGTCCACGAATATATGGACATGCGCAGCAGCTCTCTCCTTACCTGCACGTCCCCGTGTGCCAGCCGGGCTCCTTCCCTCCCCTCTCTCTCTCCCTGCCCTGTGTGACACTGACATAATAAAAAGATTGTGGATCGCTGATGACAGAGGGGAAGGAGCCCTCTCTCTCTCTTCAGCATTTACTACAAATGGGAACGTCCATATATGGTAAATGGTGTCACTGGGGATCCCTGCAGACTGGCAAGCATCCGATCTGCAGGGATCTCCAGTGACATCATTTACCATATATGGACTTTCCCATTTGTAGTAAATGCTGAAGAGAGAGAGAGGGCTCCTTCCCCTCTGTCATCAGCGATCCACAATCTTTTTATTATGTCAGTGTCACACAGGGCAGGGAGAGAGAGAGAGGGGGGAAGGAGCCCGGCTGGCACACGGGGACGTGCAGGTAAGGAGAGAGCTGCTGCGCATGTCCATATATTCGTGGACGCGCAGCAGCTCTCAAGAATCACTGTCAGTCACAGTGAGGAAGATCAGTGGGGAGGATCCCGTCAGACACGTCGGGATGTCAACTCATTGCGGCGCTTAGCCCCGCCCACCACCTTAAATAAGGGTATACAGCCTTACTGTGCATTTTGGCTAATTAGAGTAAATTACATAATTTACTTATTTAGCCTAAGGAATGCATTCATAAAAAAAGATAGAACCCCATAGTTCTCCTTTAACTGGCTTGCCTGCAGCCCAGACCTTTCACCAATTGAAAATATTTGGCACATCTTGAAACATAAAATATGACAAAGAAGACCCAGAACTGTTGAGCAGTTAGAATCCTATATCAGGCAAGAATGGGACAACATTCCTCTCTTAAAACGCCAACAACTGGTCTCAGTTCTCAGACATTTACAGAGTGATGCTAAAAGAAGAGGGGATACTACACCCGGGTAAACATGACTCTGTCCCAACATTTTTGAGACATGTTGCTGCCATCAATTTCAAAATGACCTTATTTTTTTTTTCTTAAAATGGTTTCTCAGTTTAAACATTTGATGTGTTTTCTATTTTCTATTGTGAATAAAATCTGGGTTTATGAGGTTTGCAAATCATTGCATTCTGTTTTTATATAGCTTTTACACAGCGTCCCAACTTTTTTGGAATTGAGGTTGTATCTGATTTCAGGAGAAATCAACAGTTTCTCTTTTTTGTTTTTGCAGTTTATGAACAGGTAAAAACAAAACATTTTCATTGGTATAGTTAGCGGACTAAAATGGAGCACATAATCTGAATTCTTTGTTAGGATTTACATATTCCTTCAAGCAATTCACCTCTATAGCTATAGGTATTGTGGAAAAATTGATCTTCCAAGTTCACAATAGAGACACATATGAGAGCAAAATGTTGGCAGCCTGTCAGCCCTCTAATATAAACCACCAGTAGCTTTTAGAAATGGACTGAAACCAGACTCGGGTGTCTTTATTGTGATCTTTGTGGATCATTAAGAATGAATTACTTTACAGTACAATCAGCAAGTAAGATAAGTGAGAGCTCGGTTTAAAACCCTTTTACTCCTTGTTAAGAATATATAAATAGTTTAATGCCCGTAGTCTGGGCATTGGAGCTTTTTTTAAAGGTGGAAAGGTACCTAGCAGGCAGAGAAGTATGCCCATATAGATTGCTGCAAACTAGAGTTCTGCTTTAATAACTTCCTATAATATCCTACTCTAAGGTAATCAGTGTGGAAGTAACGTTTCTACACTGTGAGCCAGTCAATTTCTTTTACATTTTAGTGTAGGGTTTGTTTTCTACATGTTAGTGCACTTTGCATGTAGTTTTATGCCTGCATAAAGGTTTTCTAGGCCACTAATATGTCAATGAGAGCAATGATGCATGCTTCTGTTTTTTTGTGTGTGCTTCTGTACTTTTTGTATATGTCCTTATAGATATTATTTCTCACTGGTATCTCCTTTTATGTTAATGCTGGCTTACAGTAATTGAACAAAGTTACTAGAAGGTGCACATTTACATTACAGTTTGAGCTCCAATCACACAGAATAGACATAGAAAGATTTGCGTGCTAGCACCATAGCTAACTATGGTGTAGGTTTGCATATTTTTACATTAAAGCAGATGAGCAAGCCTAATAAATGTGTACACATCTAATCATGCATCTCCAATGTAGGATTGCATCAGATTACTGCACTTTGGGCATTAACGTTATACTGTATTATTAGTTTGCACATCCCAATGCTTTTCCATTTTATTCAACACAGAAATGTCCTATTGAAGAGAAGCAGAGAACAGGTAGACAGACCTTTGGTCTGGTAGGAAAATTATAGGATCAGTTATATCATATTTAAAGTAATTTACTTGTTACTTGTACTGTATTTAAATCTCTAGTTCAAAGCATGGGTTTTTTTCTGCCATGTCTACATTCACAATTACAGACTCTACCAGCTTTACGATGGCATAAATTCCACTTGTAATAGAAGGAAAGTCTTCATGCCCTGGTAAATTCTACTTTTCAAAAAGATTTTACAAGATTATTTGCACACTTATTGAAATGTATAAAAAACATACACAGCAAGCTTTGTAAATAAAAACTTTCAGAATCAATAATTCTCATAATATAATATCTCTGAAAGAACGTCTACTAGTAAGGGAAGGAAAGTCTTCATGCCCTGGTAAATTCTACTTTTCAAAAAGATTTTACAAGATTATTTACACACTTATTGAAATGTATAAAAAAAATACACAGCAAGCTTTGTAAATAAAACTTTCAGAATAAAAAATCTCCCATATTATAATATAGTTGCCCTAATTTTTGCAGTAGATACATTTTGAATAAGTAACTCACATTTGATAGAATTCCTGTTCTCTTGCATGCAGCTTGGCAACCCAGCAGCTAATACTTCAAAGTGCACACACTGTTTGGAGTTGGTGACTGTCATGAGCATGGTCTACATCCACACCTTGTGGCCAGCGGACTGATTGTGCCTATTAATTCCTCTGTTGTCAGCTAGGAACATACATGAAAGTGAAAACACCCATACTGCTGCCATTAGATAAGCGCTTGTAGAGGGAGTGTTTTTTACTACTTATGTGCTCCATGAACACACCCAGCTTAGTTTTGATCTAACCATTATCCTTACAATTTAAATGATAAATGCTTCCTTGAAACGGCTTGTCTGGATACCTTTACCAGCTATTCTTTTTGTCATCTGCATAATTTGGCTTGTTACTAAAGCATGCATTTATATTTTTTCAGTAACATCAGAAAATGTCAGAAGATTTGAAGAAAAGATTAGAGTTTCCAAACCCTCTCATTCAGACCCAGGTACGTAGTTTATTTAGTGCATTTTGTACATTTAGTGCGTCCAAGCCACTAACTCAACTTTTGTCAGTTCCTAATAAACAGGGTGCTACCCAATGGGTTCCCTAAAACAAACACACAGCTCTTGTTCCTTTTTAGTGTTAGCTGTCATACTTTTCTCCCAGTAGCAGACTCTCGCAGCTGATAGAGAGCCTTGAGCATCAGTCATTTCACATATATAAAGGCCTTTGGACAGCTGAGAGGTAAGGAAACCATGTAAAATGTGGACCTAAGAATGGAGGCTTTTATCACCTACAGCTCTACAAAGCCTTATGGGTCCTGGACCCAGAACAGGACTAATTAAGATTCTGATAAAACAAACAGTTAGAATATTTTTTTCCATATTGAGCACAAACTCTGGAGCCTCTCACCATGTGTATGTGAAAAACACAGGCGACACATATACAGCGTCCACAATCCTGGCCGCCAGCATCTCACAATCTTTATTTTTTATGACACAAAAATACCTGCCAGACATATATTGATAAAAAATATTGGTAACCTTTTATTTGGCAACACTTTCTGCAGACAGAGCATTGACCTATACAAAAAGAAATCCAAATGCTGTAAAATAATCTGTATGTTTTATATTTCTCTATATATGAGATTTGTTTTATGTGTCTTTGACTCCTGCAGGCTGTTGGTCATCTAATAGCTTCTGTGCTGAAAGAAAATACTTTCTCAGACATTATAAAACAATCATCAAACCAGGTAAGACTCAATCCAATCTTTTGAGCTACAGAAGAGATTTTAGTCATGTTCCAATGGTGATTTAACGGATATAGGCTTGTTTTTCTATTTTATCATACAATGTACATGTTTCTTCTTATTTTTTAAAAAAATTATTATATTCTAAAAATGTAACCAATAAACATATTTAGATAATATATTTTTAAAACTTTTGTGAATACTGATAGAAAAGATAAGACTGCTTTTTATTCATGTAATAAAAAAGTATTGTACTGAGTAAAGATCTACAAATTCTAATGCCCTAATATCTACAAAGGTTCCATTTATAACTGAAAGTGGATATCTCTACCCTCTCTCGTACTCTGCAGTGATGCTCCACAGTGCGGCATGCGTTTTACGTCTTATCACATCAGATATAAAGTAGTGACTCTGATGTTAAAAGAGGGTGTTCTGGGGGGAAGTGAGGCTTCTGATGAAGAGGACGAGTTCCAGTCTGAGAGTGGAGAACTCTAATGTGAAAAGGGGGGGCTCCTAATGTAAAGTAGGCCTCCTGATTTGAAGGAGGGACGCTGATGTGAAGGAGGAAGCCCACTTTTTTGTGCTTTCACGTGGGTTTCTCCTTATAATTTATACCAGACCCCTGACTGAGAGTCATCTGGACTTTGAGGGTGTTATTCTCCCAAACAGCTACACAGATGACAATAAAGACCTGACACACGTTCTAACTATTACCTACTTTACAACAATAGTTTTGGCTGTAGATACGCTTTAATCAAACCAGTTATTTATCTCTTTTATAAAGCATACTTGCTGTCATCGTTCACCAAGACATTGACCTTTTTTCAAATAGATTTGGCAACATCTGGATTTATTCTTTCCATGCAAAATGCCATTTTATTGTATTTTTCACTACAATTAAGACTCAGATGTTGCATATGGCACCCTAAATTTGTGAAACGAGGGTTTTTTGAAAAAAAAAATATTTGCTGAGGTATTTCATACATTATTTTCTTTATTAAGAGACACAAGATTCAGATATTCTGGGATATTCATACAACCTTGCACTGCACTTTTCAATTGTCTCCATTAAACAGATAACTAATATAATCCAATAAATACAATGCAAAATAACATCAACTCATCTAGTCTAGTCCTCCAATTAATGTCCCTGTCGCCAAAATCAATATGATTATATATTGAAGTAATCCCCTTCAGTAAAAAGTAAGACATATAAACCATATATTAGCTATATATTAAAACAGTGCCCTTAAGCCATAGATAAAGTCCACTTATATTGAAATAGTGAAAAAGTTCTCAGCCCCACACCCGTGCTTTTCTAGTGAAATAATCTGAAGTCACCCTTGTGCTCTGTGTCTTACTCCTCACTCACCAGAATATCATGCTCTTCAGATTAATGATTGACCATTAAGTGCTCAAATAAACTGATTCTCCTTCCTCCGTTTTTGGTTCCCTTTTATACATATAAATGCAGCCCACCGTTTTCTCCAACTGCTGATAACCAATGTTTTCCAAAGGATTCATCACCTTACATTCCTTCAAAGTTGTTAAACTCTCTTCTCCAATGCACCAGGGCTCAAAAAAGCACATAAGACCAATAAAAACAATTTCTTTATTAAAAACAATTAAAATGCACTCATGTTAAAAACAATAATAATCCGCTTAACATGTAAATATTAGCGGCCCTTTAATCACACCATCACTTTCTCCTCCGATCCTCACTCTTCCTGTAACGGCATGCTAGTGTCAGCCTGCACCACCCAGCTGTTACAGGAAGAGTAGCCTGTAGCTTTTACTAGTGCTATTAACAGTCTGGGATCCCCAAAAGGCTCCAAGACAATCAAAACTTTTCTGGTACATTCCTTATTTTAACCTTTTCTGTAGGGAAACTTAAAGTGACATTGAACCCTCAGATTTTTTAACATAAACCAATACTGTAATGTGGGCCTTACTGTAATCCATGGTTGTTTCCCTTCTCTTTGCTGCTCTTCCTTTTAAATCCGTATCTGTTCTCATGCTGGGCAGAACTTCTGTTTTGCAGCAGACTGCCTTGTCTCTGGAATGGATACATGGTGTCTGTGTGAAGGTTCACAACCTGAGCCAGCACTACAGGAAGAGGCACTCAGCTGCAAAGGGAAGTTCTCCCCCAGCATGAGAAGAGATACAGATTTAAAAGGAAGAGCAGCAAAGGGAAGGGAAACAACCATGGATTACAGTAAGGCACACATTACAGTATTAGTTTATGTTAAAAAATCTGAGGGTTTAATGCCACTTTAAACACTCCTAACAACTATTTACTCCTCCCAAACTTTGGAGACTAATATATGCTTAATGAGAATTTTCTTAAGAAGTGGGCTGATACCACTGTTGATCTGGCCTTAAAGGAGAACTATGGGGCAACCTTTTTTGCCCATAGTTCTGCTCCGGGTCACTGGAGGACATATACCGTGACCCAAAACTCAGTATATAGGGAGCTATTGCCCGCTATATGCTGAGAGCGCCGCAGCCAGGACTGATCCTGACAATACTGTTGAGATCCTCTCAGAAGGCTTATTGAGATCTGTCTCTGCCTCTGAAGAGGCAAAGCCAGCTGTGCCCACCCCTCCCCCATCTGTCCCTCCAGTCAGCGCTTGAGAAATGGTGAGGGGAGGGGGAATCCCTGCAGGGAGAAGTGACTGACAGTCACCGCTCTTTGCAGGGAGAGGATTGGGAAGTCCAGCGATTGGCAGTGTTTGCTTAAAACTTTTACCTTCAGCCCTACATTATTGTGTTGATGGTCTAGTTGATATTATCCATCTTATCTCCCAAATGAGTCTTCTGTCTGTGAACATAAGGAGATCTATGTGGCTCCAATATTGGTCTGCGGAACAGGAATGTAAAAAATGCTTGCTGCGCATGACTTTTAATGGTGAACGTGTTTTTGGTGCTTTCCTGGACAGTTTTATAAAGGGCAAATCTTCATGTTCCTCTAAATCCAAAAAGAATCCACATCGACAGTCAACACTTGAAAGTGTATTTCCACTTTTGCAGCCAAATTGAGATTGCACCGGTTACATGTCTCTCACTCGCATAGCAGAACTTCATATATATATATATATATATAACTGCGCCAATAAACAAGCTAACAGCTACGAGGCACTAGAATGTACATTCATCACTATTGCCGTTTATATATGGACATCTTCAGAGTTATGGACATTTACAGACTTCAGATCTGATCCATTTACTATATATTCACTCAAATTTATTTAAGTCACAGATTCTTTTTTTTTTGCATTGCTCATTGTTGCAGCTCGGCACATTTGGTTATTCATTTTTTTAATTGCTGCTTGCACAATACATGCTCTATTTTAAAAGAAAAGTTGTATTGAATTTCTGGGCTGGGCAGAATAAAATGAGTGCAGGGGACATAAGTCAGAGGAATACCAACTTTCAATAAACATTCAGGAGATGTGTGTATAGAAATTAAATATAGTGTATTATTCAGACCGGTTCTGATCGATAACCAGCTGTGTTAGGAAAATAAGTCTTTATTTTCTCCCCAAAACGCTTCAACAGAAACGGCACAAGTTAATCAATGCTCACTGCCTCGATAAATTTGTCCCACACCAGGGTTAGAGTCTCAGCCGGCTCCAAGAGGTTTCTACACAGTCACCAAGCAGCAGTGTCTCATCAGTTCATAGCCTAGCACAGCCATGTGTCCTGCTCCAAAAACAGCCCTCAGACCACTGCAGGCTGGCTTCCTGTGCTCTTTAAACACTCCCAGCAGGTGGGTTAACCCTTACCAGGACCGCATACCAATAGTCAGTGTTGGAGGGTCTTTTCCACCCAATATCTCCCTGAACCTCCGGGTTCCATTTCAGGACTACTAATCCTGGGAACGCTGCACAGCAGTTTCCCTTCAAAAAACTCACCCCTGAGCCCCTCACCTTGCATTGTTGAGAACTCCTGACAAAACCTGTATTTTTTTTTTTATCCCCTTAAAGCGAACATGACCTAAATAATGGGGAAATATACCGTCTGTACAGGATGCATCCCTGATATCCTGTATAATAGCAATACATATTTATTTTTAGTTTTTGACCATAGATACCTTTTTAAGACTACTGGACTGAACCACTTCACGCAGACTCACTTAAATAAATGTCACCCGCTTGAAGTGGTTATACCAAGAACACAGCTGCTGCTTAAACAGCAGGCAGTTGCGGTTTCTATACAAGCGATCTGGCTTCTGTACAGGCACCAGATTGCTTGTATTGTGCTGCACTGTGTCCCTCCTCCCTGGGCTTCGCTGCCCCTTGTGTGGGCACGGCAGGTCTCCCCAGAAGGAACAGGGGAGAGATCAGCAGACTTCTAGCCATTAATCTCTCCTCCGATCACTGGACCCGGAAATTATGTGTATTACATCACTTCTGGTGTAACTGTGCACTTTCTCTGGCCCCCAGAGCCAGGAGAAGAAGCTGGTAAAGCAGATCTCTGCTTCATCAGCTTCTTTGGGGTCCCTAGGTGACATTAGCGGTCTAAAAGACCTCTGTCTCCATAAAGAGGACGTGTCACATCCTATTTACCATTACTTAGGGGGGCTTCTTATACCCCTAAGTGATAGCAATAAAGTTGAGTGTAAAAAATAAAACAAATGGTAAATATTAAAGTAACGAATACAATTCTTTTTTAACGTCCCCCCCACATGCACGCACATACAATGCAAACACGCGTCGGATGCGCCTAGGTGCAAAAACGAAAATTGCGCCACACTTTTTCCATATCGTCACGAACGCCTGAGTGAAAGCAGTAATTCTAGGCTCATCAATCACTGTCCTCACTAAACTGATAAGCAGTAAAAGCGTTTAAAGAGTCGCTTATGGGAAATTTTGGGTATTGTAGTTTTTTGCAGTTTCACGGATGCACGCAATTTTAAGGCTTGACATGTTTGGTATCTGTTTACCCGACGGGACCCCGTCTTTTATATTTTACCAAAAAATTTTGTATTATATTCTGTTTCTGTGCACTAAATTTCATTTTAGTGTATTTCATGCTAAAAATACTGGTTTGATAAACATTTGCAAAAATACTGTGCGACATAAAAAATTGCAACTAGCATCTTTTTATTCTACAGGGCCTCTGCATTCAGAAAATATATCATTGTTTGGGGGTCTGTAGCTGTTTTCTAGTAAAAAAAAATATATTTTATCATGTGTGTGCAAATGTAAGGAATTGCTCCGGACAGCAAGTGATTTAATCCAAACTCCTGGATATCAGTTTATATAGGGGCCCATATGTGAAGGGTATTGGATTAAGTGTTAGCCTTTATTGCTGAACAACATAGACTTGTGAAATGTCTTTTTTTTATTGTTAATAAATGCTGTTTTTAAGACATACCGTATATCTTTACTCTTTGCTTTTTAATTATAACATACTGCTTAAGTATAAGAACATTATTTTGTAATACATCTGACAGTAATATATTACACCTGGTAAGGCAGAAAGCTGGAATGACATAAATCTAGTGCTGCTCTGCAGTAGGCAAATGACTAAAGAAAATTCCCAGCGTCATCCTGACTAGGGATGAAACATGAGCTTAGTTTCTCAAGACAAAAGGAAGCTTTCATGTACAAGACATGAGCCAAATGCTTTACTTTGTGCTCTTCAACTAAGGGTGGGTTCAGTCAACACATTTTAAAATGGCATGCCAGTATAGCAGTGCATTTATACTATAAAACTAGCAAATATGTAACTGTTAATGACCTGAGTTATTTTGGGAGGTGGTGTACATTTTCAAGATATATAAGGTATATCTAAAGCTAAAACTGTTTCCGTTTTGGATAGAGTGCGGATTAGTAAAACACTAGTTTTATCTATTTTTCTTTTTTTGGTTGACGGCTGATTCCCATTGAGAAGATTTCCCATCGCCTCCTTTCTCGAGGCAGAACAGGAAGTGACGAGATTTTTCTAAACTGATGGAATTAATCTCTTAAACAGTGGCCAACATGACAAACGGAGATTGAATCAGCGATCGGCGGCATGTATTCACTGACGTCTCGATCAATAGAGCCAACCTGTGACAACTTCAGTCAGATGAGTGTATTTCACTCTCCCATAATTCTCCTTTTGAGCAAATATCATCTTTCGGTTTTACCCCTTTCCCATCTCTGTCACCTCACTATTGGACACTCAGAATGATGTGTGGGCTCAGTGACCAATAATGAAGTGTGAGAGGGGGGCAGGTTAGTAGTAAAATCCTAGTACAGGAATTGTGAGTACTTGCTCTGCATGTTTATTCTGTGCTTGGTCTGCATGTTTAAGTGTTTGACAAGCTAGATAAAAATAGAAAAAACTGAAAATAAAGTTGATTCTTTTTGAATAATGAAGATTTTAACAAAACTGCCAGCATGTCAGTTGAACTTACTTCTTTTTCTGATATTTTTGCCTTCACCGGTAATGTATAGTTGGGTATGGGCTACTGATTACAGTAATATTTCACTAAAGCCAATTTAATTTTGTTAATAGATCAAGGTATAATGACAATAAATAAGCTCTTCGGGACTAAACTCAAATGTAGAAGAAACTGTTAACACCTGGGACATAGAGTATACTGATAAATAGTCCATTAGGAGACCTGCTTTCTTCAAGTATCTATAGAACCAATAGAATTTACTTTTCTGGGTAATGTAAATGTAGTAGAGAATTCTGTCGAGACATTTATGTCTTCTTCATTCTGCATCTCCAGACTCGACCCATAAAACCCCCAGAAATAGCTCTAGAAATGTTTTTTTTTTCTCAGTTATTTGTACAGGCATAGGCCCATGGCAGATTAGCAATTCTGTTTCTGATGACTGTTCGCTTCGGGGCAGCAGGGAGTAGAGGGGCGGCACAGCCGTTACGGGCCCTTTTACATTTTTTACGAAGTTTGGCTGCCTGAGGTCCTGAGCTTGCTGGGGACCTCGGGCAGCTGTCTTAGATCCGGTCCAGCTGCACATTGCCGCCTCCTCCTTCCCGGCACAGCGCAAGACAGTCCCACACCCACCAGCACAGTCCTGTATCTCTCTAAAGCTGCCTGTTGAAAAATGGCCTGGCCAGGAAGGGGGTGAAACACCATGGCCTTTAAGTGGTTAAACTGGGTTTACATTTTCTTAATTTTAAAAAGAAAGTTCAATTCACAGGTCTGCTGAGTATCGGAAGTGCATGAGCTTATAAAACAGTAGAGCATCAAGTCCCCATAAAGACCATTGTCGTAATTTAACCTTGCTTTAACCTGAACTGACCTTGCCTGTCACAGGCAAAAAGAATAACGTAAGACAGATTCAGAATTCTCATCCTAATTATTCTGTACCTGTGCTTCATTAAACCTCAATGAAATGCATACTTTCTTTTTGTAATTAACTCAGAATCCAATTAAAATAGTTATTATTCAGCAAGCAGTTAAGGGGGCATCTCAATGAGTTGTCTTTAAAAAAATAAGCAAAGTTCAGACTCCAACACCAGTTTTCTTTATGATTTATGTGTAGAGAAGACTGAATATTTCAGCATTCAGTTAACCAGTTGACATCCGTTATTTTATAGGGGGATAACAATCCGCCTATATAATAGCAAAGGCACACTGACAGGTCCTCTTTATGGAGACATTAGGGGTCTCTAGGACCCCTAATGTCACCTGTGGACCCCATAAGAAGCTGTTGAAGCAGAGATCTGCTTCATCAGCTTCTTCTCTCTGGCTATAGCAGCCAGATGATTGACAGGTGAATGCGGAAGTAATGTAATACACAACACTTCTGCATTCACAGCCCGGACGGAAATCAGCAAGGAGCTGATCTCCCGTCCTCCTCCTCCTGACGCCCTTACTTTATTTTCAACTGGTGATCCAGCCAGTAAGTCTGTTATTTTTCAACTTCCTTTAACAGGCCAAGCTGTCCAAAAAGTGGCAAGTAGGGGGTTGAGACAAACTATGAAAGTGTGATAGGGGTGCTTACAATGGTTGGCTCTTATTCATTTATACCTTTAGCCCAAAAGGGGAGGGCTTCCGATGATTGCAGTGCAGAGTGGGCAGTGTGCGCTTGCGGCATTCGTCTTCCGAGCAAAGTCATGCGACCTTACAGTAGAAGCGGCCGCACGCTGCCGATACACCTGCCGATTATCATACGATTGCAGGATCACCCGCGATTATCGTATGATAATCGGCAGGTGTACGGGCACCTTTTACAGGGACACAGACAGCAGTAAAAACCTGACAGGTGTTCTCCCCCTCATCACTCCAAAACTAAAAGAAAAGTTTGGGCTTTAGATGCACTTTAACCCCCTAAGGACCCTTTCGCTGCCAAGGCTCTTTTTCTTTTTCCATTTGTTGCACACATTATAATCTACATTTTAGGCCTGAAAATTACTTCAAACCCCCAACATTATATATTTTCTGAAAGTTAAGACCCTGTAGAATTAAATGGTGGCAGTTCCAGATTATTATGTAGCATGATATTAGCCGAACACTTTATCAAACTCAAAAGAATTAGTAAAAAAATGCATACCCTTTTTTTTTTTTTTAAATATAACAGATGAGGTTATGACGAGTATATAGATACCCAATATGCCCAGGTTAAAAATTGTGTGTGTCTGTGAAACGTCGATGAAATTCAGTATCCCGAAAAGTCCATAGACAATGCTTTAAGAGCCCCTATAGGTCATCAATCTAGAGATACGTGTAAATATTGGCCACATAATTATTGCTCTCACTCTGGCATGCCCGGCGATACCCAACATGTGTAGCGCGATCAACATTTTCGTACGTAGGTGCACCTGATGCGTGTTTACATGAATACTCGCATGCTCCTTATATGGGGACAGAGAGTTTCCTGTCACTGAAATTGTACAAAAAAGCTTGCAGTCTGGCCAAAGGCCTGCTTCAAAAAAGCTTCTAATAGGTGAGAAATATTTTTTTTAAATATTCATATTAGGTATGATGTGCTCATGGGAACACATACCAAACATCTAGTGGAGTTTTCACAAATTTGACCAGAAAAGTTGAAATACACTTTAAGGCATGAAACTTTCTCCTGCGACTTTAGAGGAATTCTGTAAATCTGCTTATTTACAACTTAAAGTACTGTAGGTTAAAGGTCGGTAACAGAAATTTGTATCAAGTCACAATATACAGCAACAGTACATGTTTCTGTTCCTTTTATGATTAAACAGCCCTAAATCCCAACTCCAGGCACAAGACAATAAAAATTCCTTTCAGTGTCCCAACCCAAACCCCCCCTCCGGCCCCCTACAAGGGTTAAATGCTTATTTGGTCTAAGAGGTACAAGAAGTGGAGATATTATTAACCTAACCTGTCACTTTGGCAGGCTTCAGCCCTCTCCTCTTCTCCCTGGTGCTCCAGATCGTGTGCAATCCCTCAGCACCATGATGCACAATGCAAGACTATTAACTCTGCTTGGTACTCAGAGGAGGAGAGTGGGATTGTGGCTGTACCTTAGATAGGAGGCTATAGCAGACTGATTGCACTGATGAAGGGAGCCTGCTGGAGCAAGGGATAAGGTACGTACTACTTCTTATGCCTGCACCCCTAGACTTAAGCAGCAGTTAACCCTTGCATTTATTTGCTGTAATAAAAGTATTATTGCCCTAGTAGCCTATTGGAGTAGTCCACTGCAAAAATCATTCTTCACATAGAACAAAAATTAAATATGTGATTATTTCTATTATCTGATCTAGACTCCTGCCCTAAATGTTCTCTGGGAAAAATGCTGCTGTGATGATGTGGTTGTGAGGACAGCATGTTGTGGGGCCTTGGTGACACTGGTAGAGCAGAAACATGCAGATTTCACGTATGTCTTCAATGGAATTCTTAACCTCTTCCCTTCTGCAAAGTAAGTTTGAAATGTGCATCACCTGTGGTAAAATGTTTTTTTTTTTGGTTTAATATTTTATCATTATTTCACATTAAATACATTTACACATTTCGAAAATATAAACAGAAATATTACATTTCCCCTTATTGTATAAATATTAAAGATAACATAAATTCATTAAGAAGGGTCTGTTCTATTGATTACTCTATTGTTCTTATTCGAAACACACATTTATTTATACCTCACATTACAGCATTAACACATTTACCACTATTTTCTTCTCCCATTCAGTCTACTGCCCAATCTTCCTTTAGAGGGAGGGGGGAACAACCCCAATATGAATTTGTGCAAACTACAGTAGTGTTAATTTCTCTTACCCTATCCTAACCTATTCTCGCTATCCTACTTTGTTTTTTTCTGTGTTGTTTCCCACACGTATTGCCTTGTTACTGACAGCCTCATGTTTTGGTCAAGCATATTTGTGATCTTACTGATATATAGTTTGGAGCTATGACCTGTTCAGACTAACAAATATACCGTATACTTTCTGCTATTTTCATGTTGTTTGATGGTGTTTCTATGTACTATATTTTGCACTCTGGTTTCCTTTCACAATTCAAGATACATGTTGGTTGTTTGACTTCTAGTTGAATATGCCCTTAATACATTTATTATGATTGTGGAAGGAATGTGTGGAGCAGGGGGTTCTCTGGGGATACGCTTCATTATATAAAGTTAACATTTGGGGTTAAAAAAATCACAGAAAACAGCGCCTTAGTTTTTTTTTCTTTTCATTGTAATTAAAGTCAATAAATTAAATTATAATTTTCAATATAAAGTCTTGTCTTTTTTGGAAAAAAAATTGTGTAGGCAAACCAAAACGTTTTGTTTTGTAAATTGCCTACTGTCTCGTGAACCAGGTGAAGCATGCGTGTGTGTATATATCTATATGTATGTGAGTGTGTGTATAATATACAGTATATATTTATTTATTTTACAGAAATGTCCAGGGATTGGTGAAGTGCATTTGGCAGCTGCTTCACACTGAAGCGAAGGATGCAGAGAAAAGCAAGGAGCACATACAAAAAAGCATTTACAAGATCTGGTAAGAGTTTATTAGTTCACTCAATCGTGGATGAATGGATGAAAGCACATGTTCTCAGTAGGAGATCTGTACTACAATAAATAAACAAAGTATATTTATGGAAAAAAACAACATGTTTTTCTTACGTTTGTATAACATTTTATTCCAGAGTTATCTTTTCATCATATAAATCTAATATTTTCAGTGTGCATGCAACTGAGGTTAAAGAAAAAAATATGGGTGGCAACTGGAGTGGATGAACAAGTGTAGCAAAAGGGGGAAGAGTATGAGCTCACCTTTGAAACATCTGAAGTATTGCACTGTGGTTTTGTTTTTACATTTTTAACCCAAATGTGTGAGCAGGAACTGTTTTCGGAGAGTTCCTCTCTCTTAGCCCCATCATCTAGGATCATGTTATTCTAGGTCTTCTGCTGTCTTATAGCCTGAAAGCATAGTAGAACAACCAGGTAACCATCTGAGTTTACTAGTTTGGCTTGAGTATGCTGTGCAAAAGTGCAGTTGAGTCCTGGAAGATAGATGGCAAGGGTGTAGTGCTTCACAAGATCCTGAATAGTTCTGACTGTCCAAACTGCAAGGATTCTTCATTCTAGTCAAGAGCCACAAACCCCAAAGATGTCATTTGTGTGAACATTAAAGGAGCTGGATATCTCTGTTTGAGGTACCCTTTGGGAAGAAAAAAATATGTAGATTAAACTGTGATTATATGTGTATGCTGACATGTTATAAAATAGTTATGTGTAAAAAATGGGGGAACCCTAGGTAGAGTTTGGACGGATCAACAAAATATATCAGAATATAAACTAAATTATATAATAGTAAACACTTCCAGGCTTGTCAGCGGTTATCTCTGTGTTCTTAGAATATGGAAGAAACAACAGGTTCTCACTTGGCTACACATCAGAGCTGAGAAACCATATGATCACATACCGGTAAATGTTCTTCAAACTAAATTGGCATAAAGTATAAAATAATCAATGTATTACAAGAAAATGTATAACCATAATTTACCCAATGTGCACACATATACCCCCCCCTCCCCAATATTAGCTAAACCCCTCCCTATAAAAACAACGCATGTAGGACCAGTTAGGTACCTAATGTAGGCCTACATAGAAAACATTCTGTGTTAATATAAACGGTAACCGTGTGGTGGGTGGTGTATATACACCTCCCCCCCCCCCCCAGCTTCTGCACTGACAGGTGACATTATGTATTCCAAGCATAGTCTATTGTAGTAACATTTGTTTTGTTTTTTTATTACTATTACAAATACTAGTCCAGCATACTATACACATCTCCCTGCCTGCCTGCCTGCCTACCTTTCTCAGCTTCCAGTCAGACTGAACTACCTATCCTATTTGATATTAATCTGCCGCGCTGGGGCGGATTGATATATGCTGTACTCTCTACTCTCTGCTGCACTCTCTACTCTCTGCAAGCCAAGGCTATAACTTACTTGTCGGGACACGCAGCTCCTGATATTATTGATGGCACACAGCAGCCTATTCTTCTCTATGGGAGTATGCGGCAGTATGCTCACCTGAGCTGCACATCCGTGCGGGTGTCTGTACTCGTATGCAGACAGGATGAATCCTGTCTACGTCCGAGCACAGACACTCGCACCCGCAGGGATGTGCAGTTCAGGTGAGCGTACGGCCGTGTACTCCCATAGAGAAGAACAGGCTGCTACGTACAATCACACGCAGCACCTGTCCTTCCTGGCAGCGGTCCGATATGGCCGTGCACGCCGCACGGATCTGTACAGGCCGGCTCTTAGCAATGTGACTGAGGCCTTAAGCTGCAGGCAGCCCTAAATTATGTTATTGTTGTGTGGGCCTGTTAGAGTTGCCCAATCCTCAGTTGGACTGCTATTGTCTTTGAATTGTGTGAACGCGAAAGAAAACTGGGGTTTTTATTTTAATAAGGTAAATATAAAATATTTAAATAAAGATATTAATACTTTTCACAAGCAGCCAGTAGGTGGTGAGCTTCAAAAAGAACACCTACTATACACCTTTGCTATAAAACAGACCTAAATAGCATGGGGAGATCTTACACTTTGCTGAGTAACTTAGTGGAAGTAAATGGCCCCTTCTATATCTCTAAGCTGATATGGGACTATTCAATTGTGCCCAGGCTGGTAACAAACATACAGTCAGTGCTTGATATTTTTTTCATTACAAAAACCCAAACTGTCACTATATTATGCTATATTTTAATGTGTACCTGTAGGAAAACAAACTTTAAAGAGACATTGTTATCAAGTTTTTCAGGCTGCTAACATATATTACAAGTTTGAAATTAGCACTTACTAATGCTGCAGCTGCTATAGCAATTCTAATGCCTTTTGTCAGTAATAGCCCTGTAGTTTTTTCTTTACCTTCTGCAGAGGCGTCACTAGGGTTGGTGTCACCTGGTACAGAACACCCCCCTGTGCCCTCAAATGGCTGCCTATACAGACTTGCACAAGCGCATGCCCTGCACTTGCCTGACAATAATGGTATATTGGTGTTGGTGAAAATCAGTAGCCTGCAGCACTAAGGAGCTTATGGGATAAAGGCGTGTCTACCACTCAGGGCCCATTCACAGTATCCAGTGTATTCATGGCACAGTTCTGTGCCATGAATGCACTGGATCGCATAAACAAAGCCTCCCCATGTTCTGGGGCAGGAGGGGTTGTGGTGTTGCCATTGATTTCAATGGCACCGCAGACACGCCTCCCCACGCAGTGTGAATGCCTGCACCAGAACGCGTGGTGCCGCAATGCCCTGCGTTTTGGTGCGGGCTAAAGCACTGGGTGGGAGGCGTGTCTGCAGTGCAACCGCGACCCCTCCCACCCCAGAAAGCGGGGAGGCTTTGGTTATGCGATCCAGTGTGTTCATGGCACGGAACTACTGTGTCATGAACGCACTGGATACTGTGATGGGGCCCTTAACTGAGTATAAAAGTTGTGCAAAGATGAATTGTCGTTTTAAATCGCCAATGAGCTACTATTTGCCAAAACTCTAAACTGTGAAGATGAATTAACTATAAGACTCAGTCGCAGAGCAGAAAAACCAACCATTTCACAATCAGTTTCCATGTTAAATATAGAGGTTGTTGTGTTACACTATTCTTATGCTCACTGGTTTTCTAAAGACACCGACCCCCAGACAGTCCGCTCTGATTCTCCCCGCATCTGCCGCAGCCCCCCACAGCTCAGCCGCTCTAACACATCCCCCACCCACCCACATCACAAAGGCCGCAGGAGGAGAGTATTCCAAGCTGGTGCCGGCCCTGCATACAGGAGTAAAAGAACCCCGTGTTTGCCTAATGTTGGCAGTTTGCCTGACGTGGTGTGCGGGTGTCTCACGTGTGTGGTCCGCACAGTGCACCCCCCCCCCCCCCCCCCCCCCCCCCAGTGATGCCACTGACCTTCTGACACCTTTCAGAGTGTCAGAGATTTTCTGTAGTAGCTGGCTTTCCAAAATGCTCCATGAGCACCGCAACCTGAGGCATTATTCTATGGAAGTATCAACTTTAGCTAGGAAATTTGATGTTTGGCCTGGCCTCACTTTCATTCCTTACTATTGGTCCATCATTGAGATAAATGGCCTTACCAACAAATAGACAAGTATGGTTATGGACAAAGCCTCTGATTTCTTGGGGTTTTTTTTTTTAATATCTTTTTTTATATCTTGGTGCAAAGGTTTACCTTTTTCCTGTTATTATTTTTACATTTCTGTTCTGTAGCCCCATAGCTGTATATCTGCAGCGTGATACACCAGACACTGGGTTAACAAAGCGCTGTGTCCTCCGGCGGCTGCCGACTTCCGTGTTCTGTCCCTTGCGAGCAGCCGCGTTGTAGGGGGGCGGAAACAGCGGGAAGTTTGAAAGTTACATTTTTTTTTCTTAAATAAAAAATAAATAAATAAAGGAACATTTTAAAAAAATCATACCGCCAGTGAAACGCGCGTTTCACTGAACAGAAAAACGTGCTAAAAAACGAGCAGAAAAAACGTGCCTATGCTACGCCCAGGTGTGAATCCAGCCTATATGTCAATGGAGCTTAAGTAATGTCACTACTGTGCTACCAGTTTTCCTTGCTGGAGATAAGGCCATATCTGAGGATCTGCGGTACACCTATCTTCCTGCTTCTGCTTTATTCATGATGTGAATCTGTGATTTCCGCACCTCTCCTCTTGCTTCCTGATCATTTCCCCCCTAGTCTTTAGGGGGACAGTTCTCATATGTGGCAGCAAAGTCCTATCTCTACTAAGATGGCCACCACCACACAGTAGTAATAGCGCAGAACAAGGAATGGAAAGTCAGTAATGGGAAAGAGATCAGCTGCAGGGAGTCTAAATGCAATACAGGTGACTAGTTTGTTGTCCTCTGCTTTCATTTTTTTATGGCCACAGCCTTCACAGTCCAGGTAATTTTTAATAGCCTATATAGGCATGACAGAACAAGTTGCTTACAAATGGCTTTCTGAATGCCCCATTTTATATTGTCAAAAAAAGGGGGCTTAAACTTTGGAAGACATCTGTCTTCATTGAGTGAAGATTTGCCATAAGCAACATATCGCAGAAATGGGCAATGTAACATCTCGCATATAATAAGAAAACATTGCAGGAGACTCTTGTTGCTGGCCTGCTATAAGGAAGCATGAAGGTGAAAGCAGACACAGAGTAGCTGGGGTAGTGCACCTTTCCCTGCAGAGTCCTTTCTTGACCGATGTGTACAGTAAAAACATGTATTCAGATAAAAAGTAAAATTAGCTAGAACTGCAATTTCTGCCAATGTTACATCTTCAAGGTTATTACGCGTTTATCACAGCCTGGGGCCACAATCAATCCACTTCAGCTTTGTGCATGTTACTTTTGTAAAGAATAAAGGTAAAATGAATAGCAGAGTAGCGCAGTGTGTCCCGAAGCCTTCTGAAGTCAAGCATGACAGTACACAAACCTTTGTCCCAATTTATAGCACATAACTAGAAGGTCTGCTATTAACTTAAGCCGCTAATCAAGTGTAACATTCTGTTTCCTTGCTGCTTTTTTTTTTTCCTTTCGCTGCACAGCATAGTCCCATTTTTTCCATGTGAAATGCTTTATCTGCTGCACAAAGAGACTTACTCGCCTACTAAATTATCCCTGTGCCATTGGAATACAGCTTCATAACATATCAGCTAGGGAACTACAAGTCCCAGCATGCCCTCATTGCCCCTGTACAACAACCAGATATTGCCGTTCCCTGGGTGATATGTGTGTGTGTGGGGGGTGGTGTACAGGGACAATGATGGCATGCTTGGACTTGTAGTTCCTTAGCTGATAAATATGTGTGGGGGTGGGGGGTACAGTTCTAGTGGATGTTTATATAATATGGGGGGGGGGGCGAAAAAAATGTTCTGCCCCGGGCGCCCATAACTCTGGTTACGCCACTGCCATGCAGTTAAATGCTCGCTATCTTTGTAGCTCCAGCCAAGTGATTGCTGTCTGATTTGGCCCCTAAGAACTGGCATCCATTTTACAGAGAAAGTCCTGATTCAGACCAGAAAAAAATCATAAAGTTCTTTTCTTTTTTATTGGACCCTCAATGTATTTTCTGTATTTAGTTTTAACCTAAGCTATTACCTTCAAAATCCCATACCTTTTCTCAACCCCTGTGGATTTGTGGCTAATATATGGATTTTTTTTTTTTAAAACCTTTTTTATTTATTGTCTTTGTGGTATTGCATCAAATTAGGGGTAGTAAAAATATTGTAAAATTATAAGGGTTATTGTTATGACGAACAGACAGAACCCTTAAAATGTGTGTATTCCATTGTTTACAAATGCTTCCTTTTTATTGCATTACAGAGTGATATTGTGCTTCCTTGGTAACAGAGCAGAGCTATTCCCCGAATCTGCATCGGCTCCCTTACAGATTTAACCATTTATAACTGTTTGTTCATAGCCTGAGTACTGTGCTATGTTTTGTGCAGGTTGTACAGTTACACCAGACAGTTAAATGATCTGTGGTGCCTCAATACACATTCATAAACAGGTTACACATGTAGTAGACCTTGTGAACATGCACTCTCCCATGCCATGACTGTTAATTACTTTTTGCGGTCATGGTGAAGTGGCTATGGAGTAGATACACAGGTATCCAAAATGTAACCAGCTACTTTAATTTTAAGCCTCAGCTTAGTTTTTCTGGCCTAAATATCTATTGTTTCTTTCTTTCCAGGAATCCTCCGCATCCATTAATCAGCATGTTAGAAAACAGACCCGATTCCTGGCCTGCTCTCCTGCAGCAGATGTCTGCCATCTCTTCACAGTGTTCAGATCGGTAATAACATCTAAAGCAGCAGTAATCCTCACTTCACAAAAATGTAAAACTCTAGATAACTGTAATGTCATCATCTAGCTGTAATTTGAAAGCAAATCTCCAGTGGGAAATTTATAACGATTAAATGAGGTGGAAAAACAACAAAAAAACCTCAGTGCATCCACCATATTTGTTGGATAATTTTTAAGCCAGTATACACACACAAACTGGGTTAAATCTTAAAAATGCATTCAAGTACCTTAACTATTAACAAAAATGTATCTTATTTGTGTATCACTCAGATTTAGATCCTCAAATCATCTCTGAATTGGTGCCGACACTGTCCTTCCTTCTGGAGGGTGGCTACATTTATACCCTATGGTCCCTGTGTGTGTGTTGTAAAGTAGTCGCCGCTCCAAGCTTGCTCTCATAATGGACTACAATCTCAGTACAAATTAGTAAACTAAACATGAGACTGTAGTCCATCACAAGAGTGAGCTTGGAGCGGTGGCTACTTTACAACACACACAGGGACCATGGGGAACAAAAGTAGGCACCCTCCGAAAGGAAGGACAATGTCATCATTCATTTAGACATGATTTAAGGGTTTACAGCTGAGTGATACACAAATTGGATACATTTTTGTTAGTAGGGTACTTAAATGCATTTTTAAGCTTTAACTCCTGAGTTTAGTGTCACTTTAATGGTGGTGCTTGAGAAAAAAAAACATGCACAAGAGAGCTGCAGATTTACTTGGATCCCAAACGCTTAATAAGGGTGTAAAGTAGATGCACTTTAAAAAGTAACTATACTGGGAAACATAACTAGCAAGATCTTTTAGATCCAAGTTAGGATATTGGCAAAAAAAGCTAAACAAAGACAGTTCTACATCTACAACATTTAACACACTGCAAGGAAGTTTTATTTATTTCTCCTGCCACTAGACACGACCTTTATCATTTTTTTTCTTGTTTCATTAGTCTTTAATGTTGTTGTGCAAAATGGGGAGCAATGCATTACTGCATATATTTGACATGGGGGGGTTAGAGATTTCCGTTCAGTAAATTACATTATACAAGAGTGGCAGTAAGTGCAATAGAGAGAAAATCTGAGACTAGCAGGTCTAGTTTCCATAAAGACAAATGCGCCTGGGAAGGGACAGGTAAAGATATTGTAGCATCACAGAGTTTGAAGTTACTATTAGTTATTGTAGCGCTCACCCCCGAAGGAGCCGCTGAATATTGAAATGGGTTCTCCTACCTGTTGGTTCTAGCTACCAGTCCCCTTGGATCAGCAACAGCACACCGACACTCACGGACAGAACGGCTCGAGTCTTAGGGTCTTTTTAGGGTATTTATTTGCAACATCAATAGGAGAGAGAGGGTTTAGGATCTGTAGGATGCCATAGGAAATACTTCGGAGGACAGCTTTCTCCCTTAGCAACGGCTAATGCTGATATCGCTGTGATCTGGTCCCAGAGACCAATAGTAGTAGTAATACTGTGAACAGATACCTGGAATAGGGTGTGGGATCTCCCTTGTGGGTCCCAGACGGACGCTCGCACCAGCTCCTCTGCGGTATCCCTCAACAAGCGGACTCCTCCCCGACCCAGCTTCCATCAGGTATTTTCCTTCGCAACAGGATCTGGAATCTCTGTGCCCTCAGCATCTGCAACTGCCAAGGAGCACTCCAGTTTAGTGGTAGTATCTTCTTAGAACAAGGCACCCATCACCTGCCACGTGTATGGGCCCAGCAAAGTATCAGTGTATCCTAGGCCTCTAGGTCCCTCAGCACCTGCCATGTGCTGAGGCCCAGGCCAGTTTCCTGCATCACACACAGTCCTCCTAGGGCGAGGCCCCTAGGGGAAGAGAGCTCTCCACAATGTCCCCAGACCTTTTATCACCTGCCCTCAACCATGCCTCTGAGTCATCCTACTCAGGGATTGGCTAGGGCCAGGTGCATAGTCATAACCTGAGGGTGGATCCTCCCTCACTGTATACCAAGGCTCCCTTTTCCTCAGCAACAGGAGGAGCAATCGATCCAGCAGACTCAGGGACACCTATAGAATGCAGAGCTCTGTATAATCAGTATCCAGACTGATTACAGTCCAGGTATCTCTAAATTGAATAGCGACATTTTAGAGGGCGCTACATTATATTATTTTTTTTTAGCATCAAATCTGACCTCAACGCTCATTTAACAAGATCTTTATCACATATTGGCACAAAAGTCAGTAACATTTTTTACTTAAAGCTCTATTAATATTTTAGATGCTACCCATCAAAATGCATCTGACCTATATCACGAGCCTTAGTTACTTAATTTTTCTGAAAGCATTAGAAATTCAGAATACCATACTTGATCTTGCAATGCAGAAAACCTTCTGGGGACCTCTCCATTCCAGACTTTAAAAAATACTACATGGTGGCCACTTAAATCTGCCTGGTAGATTGAACATACAATGCCTCACAAAAAAGTTGGGTATATGTAAAAAAGAGGTTCAGCTTTGCTAGACCAAATCATCTGGATCACAACACAATAACATTTTGTACTTACCTCAATCTCACCGGTCACCCACAATGCCCGAAAAGATATGGAACTCTCCACATTGCAATATATATATATACAGTAACTCCCTGCTCCTGGCTTTAACAGGACATAACTATTTGCCATGAGGCAAAGATGATCCAACAAACCTTAAATGGTCTCATTCCTTAACATTACAAGACATTATAAGATCTTCTCAAAGGAACAAGTATAGTGGCCCTTCAAGACTTGAGATCTAAATGAGGTGCCCACGTTATGAACTTCTGGAGATATCAAATACTCCACTTAGCATATTCTCCCCCCAAATCCCTGCACTCCCCTTTACAGTTTACCACCTTTGACACTCTGTTGAGTTCCAAACTCACTCCTACATACTGCATTTCTTACATTAATAAATCTCTACTTAATGAAAAAAGATCTCAAATCCCTCCATATCTTGAAAAGCGGGATCGGGGATACATACCTCTTCCCTGGATTATAACATGAAAGAGAAGGACGTTAAACTACTAGCTTGGTGGTTTAACATTCCTCCAGGAGTTCACACATATCACCCATCAATCTCTGCTGATTGTTGGAGGAGCTGCGGGGCAGATGGCACCTTTGGTTATGTCTGATGACATTGTCCTATAATACCTATGGATTGGTCTACAATCCTAGTTCTAATCTCCCGGATACTTGGTATCAGCATCCCAGTGGACCCATGGATCTGTCTACAAGTTCCATAATACCCCATCCTCTTCTAACCAATAAAAGACCCTTAGGAACATGGCTGCCATGCAAAACCAGATCAGCCAAAAGCAAAAAGTGATTCTATCAACACTGGCTCTAAAAGACATCAACAAGTTGATTATAAATACAGTATATTCAACTTTATATTTAGTTGCCCACTAAAATTATGTTTAGAGGGTATATTATTATTTGCTTTGTGCTTGTCATATTTGGATTTGGTTGGATTTTTTTTTTTTTTTTTTAGGAAGGGAGATATAACCTATGTTTACCATGAGGGGCATTAGGTGTCCCATAGTGGGTTTATGTAATAACAATATGCATGGACTGGTTTATTTAAGCTGTACTGCAGCAGTTGAATAGACACTTTTAAATACTGTACATATATGGGAACTATTTTATCTTCCAAACAATTTGTATTTATGTGCAGCCAGTATTGTGATGAGTTTTTCTAGACAGCAAAACAAGATCTTTTGATCTCCTCTACATTAGTCCCAGCAGCATACTTGATTGGTTCCTAGTGTTGACCATCTTTCCCAGTCTGTGTACTGCTGTACAGGGGATTACAGGAGCCTGATTATCAGTTAATTACACTAGCTACACCAAAAAGTACATAAAGTAATTTTCCCTAACATTATTAATTTGTACTTGACTCTACAGAATGTAAAAGAATGCCAGTATGCCTATTCAGCAACATCAGCTGGCACTGTGTTTGCATCCAGCAAGCTGCTCTTGACCACCACTAGATGGCATCTTTTGGAGACAGGAGACCTCCTCTATATTGAGCCTAAATGAGCAGATTGTTCAGAACGCAACAGAATGTATTCAGAATCAGACGCTGCAGGAATCATTGCGGGAAACTGGATTTTTCCTTTGGAAAGGCAACCCATCATGTTAGGATTTCTGAGGCTACTGACCCAAGTACAAATGTACACAGCTGCCATGCACAGTAAAACATTACAATAATGTGTTTTCATTTCAGCAATAAACGTTTTCAGCACGTTATGTAATGGCTGCAAAAATTTATTTTTGGAGGCTTTATCTCAGAGTCTAATGTTCTGGGCCCTGATAGTTTTCTTTAATTCACTGGAATTAAAGAGTAACTTCAACCAAAACAGGACAGGAAGTTCTTCTCAGCAGGTCAGCAATATAAAAGTTATAATCCCTACCTACTCTATTCAAACCCCCAAAATATTATTTCTACTGAAGTTAGGTTTTGAAGCAATATTGCATGGTCAAGATTGTGACTGGATAGTGAAGGAAGAGTAGCTGGGTGATGAGGTCATCTCGATGCTTTCTCTTGTAACCAGCGAGCTCCATTTGTTAGATTCATAGCACAGTGCAATGCCAAAAAGTCTAATTGGCCTACTGAACTGTTCCTTTCATTTTTACTTTGAATGCTGCTGTGCAGGGGAGTGCAGAAAGCTTGTGCTAGTTCCAAATTCTACTTAAAATGCATTTAAGTATTTTAGGAATACATAATCGGATTAATGAAGGTCACTTTATATCTGCCTACACTTTTACTACACGACTACGATAGATATTTTACAAGTTTTGACCCTGTGTCTCAGCTACATTTATGAGTAGATGGCTATTTAATAGTGACTAGGTGTCAGACTAGGTATATTATCATTTTCTTTTCCTTTTCTATTCTCCTTCCTTTTTTGCTTTCTTCTTCCCCTCTTCCCAGCAGTAGATATCTTTCTGTGTTGAATCTACATAGGGGATTGTTATAAGATCTTCTAGGAATTCTATTTGAGTCTATGACACTTGAGAGTAGATGAAGGGTCTTATACTATGTGACCTCCATTTGGTTAGTATGATACCCTTTTGTATTATCAGTTTTTTGTTTTGTTTTTTTTAAACCTTAGGAACGTTTTGCTTATTTTAATAATTCAGTGCTTCAATTCAATCAAAAAAGATTGTATGTATATACCTGATGGTTATTTGCAGGGAAGTGCGAATTTGAATTGTAAGAAATCCAGACCACCCTGTCTCTGTTTTTGGCCAGGCTTCATTTTCATTCTCGGAGGCTTCCCATATGCACTTTAGAATGAAAGCAAGCCCACTGTACACAGCTTGGAATTATGAAAGGACAGGCTCTAAAAGCCACTCCACTGTTCTTGTCGGAGGCTGCCAAAATCAACTCCACATATAGTGTACAAATTGGCACATACTACAAAGCAGGCTGAGTTCTGTCTGGGGGATCTTACCTCTCCACATGACAACATTATATAGTTAGAAGAAAGTGATGGTCTTAGATCTTCACAAACATGATACATCAATTAAGTTTCATGGTTTTTCTCTTGCACATTTCTCGGTAGGAGTTTGTGGAAAGAATATACTGAGGTATATTGTGTCTTTTAATTTGCAGCCTCTTGCAACTACTTCCTGTCTGCATGCATGTACTCCAGTGATGGCTGCAGGGTAATTGTCAGGTTGGGTTTCCTAATGGTGACAACAATAGACTATGTTTATGTAATTGTGTTAAAATGGGCACTTGTAGTCTTTGTTAGAAGCCCATGTGACAGGGTGATAAAGCAGAAGATAGACAGTCATTATACATTTTTCACACTAAAACAAGAAGTGCCTGAACAAGGATCTTAATGGCAGAACTACCAGGTATTATTTTAATGAAAATGTAATAGTATTGAAAATGAGTTTGGAAATTATGTTAACATGTTACAGGCTATATAAGACCTCAGTGACTGGGTTAATATATGCTTAATTTTCAGCTTTCCTTAATTGCAATATTGATTTATGGAGTATTTCCCGGAAAACCCCCGAAATATTTTATTGCTGTGTTTTTAATTGCGAATACAAGAAGCAATGCCTAATGAAACTATAAGAAACGTTTAATTAAATTGACATCGAGTTTCTATTTTATCGCAGGGACCAGCCTTCTAGTGTCTATATTTTGACACCTTTTCTGAGGTATCTGTATTGTGAGCCTTCACAGCTACAAGATTACTCTACCTTAAGATTGGGAATCCGGAAAGCTCTTCTACATTCAGAAAGTGCTTGTAGCACTCGGAGACCCTCAGATTTGGAAGAGCAAATCCTTCGCCTGTTCTTTGACATTGTAGGCTACATGCAAGTAAGTGATTTTTATGTTGATGTCAGTTTAATTCTTGTTAATTATTGACAGTGAAACCATTTTCCCAGTGCTTGCTAATATTTTTTCTGTAAGAGGATAAGGCAGATACGTTTGGAAATAGCATGCATTGTCTTTTTATGCCTGTGCAGGCTCATATAAACATTTTAATACAATATAATTTTTTCAGGTAGTCTTTTTGTCTGTTTAGGCCCCTTTCACATGGGCGTTCCATTAGTCAAAAAAAACACATTACAGGGTGGGGAGCGTATAAATCAGACTTGGAAAGAAAAAGCTGGATGGGAAAATACAGGTTCACCTGCAGTCTGTCTGGAATGGAGCACTGTTGTTGGTAGATTCTTTCTATCTTAGTTGAACTGCCATATTAAACTGCCATTTCACTTGTGTAGAAATTATCATGGCAGAGTGCCAGAGCCCTCTTGGCAGATTGAGGAGGGAGCTGCGTGGGGATGAATTGTTTGAGAACGTGATAGTCGAGCGGTTAGGTTGAGGTGGGATAGATTTCCCTGAAGGGATGAGTCTTTAGGGATCGCCTAAAGGCAGTCAAGGTGGGCGACAGACGGACAGGTTGGGGTAAAGAATTCCAGAGGATGGGAGAGACTCTAGAGAAGTCCTAGAGGCGAGTATGGGAGGAGTTGACAAGGGAGCTGGAAAGCAGGAGGTCTTGGGAAGATCGGAGCCGACGGTTAGGGTGATACTATATTGGTCAATTAAGAACTGATAAGAGACAAATGGAGAGAAAAGAAGGACATTTTCAGACTAAAGCTGGCCATACACCAGTCGAACTTTGTTCAAAAAAAATTAGTTTTTGGAATGTTCTTTCAATTTTATAATAGTTAATGGGGGTCAAATCGACTATCATTTTCAACGATATTGACATAAGAAATAAATGAAGAGGATGAACATGCTTTTTTGTTGGAACAATCCTAATAAAATTATAATAAACACTGTTATTTGTCAGAGTAAGCCGTATACAGTATGTGCAGTTGCAATGAGCTGCCGCATAGCAAGCTGTCTTTCCATGCTTTACTGTATCTTTTGATAGGCATGTTGTACTAATGCTGGGATGAATGTGCAAGAAATTCAACCCTACTCATAAACTTTTCTAGAGATGGCAAATGTCTGAGAATGCACAGTAGCCAAATTTTAAAATCAAATTGCATTGATGTGTAACTTTTATCTAATGTCTGGGGATGTATTTACACTTATGTGTATGCAAGTTCAATTATTGTCATCATACCTTAGAGCAATTAATAAAAAAAAAACTTTAAACATTTCCCAAGGTCCATGTTGAATGCTTTGAGAGCCTGTACTTCTATTGCTAAAAACTGTCGGTGAATACTTCTTGCATACCGTGTTAACTCCCTGCATTTCTTTACAATATTAGATTTTCCTGAAACTGCAGTTACAGGGGATGGGTATAATTTTCCTAACTCGTACTGCTGCGTTTCGAATCATGGGCCACACAAGGTCCTTTTCAAAACATGCTTTAGAGGTTTAATCATGATCTGACAATGTCCAGCTTTTCCTTATTTTTTTTTTCTAAAATAAATAGTGATTCCATAATACATCCTTTATCCCATCTGTTTAATGTAATGTTATATGGAAAACACAGATTAAACATCAGCCCACAGCTGATGATGACTTCAGAAACATGTTCTTTCTTCTGCTAGTTAACAGAACTTCTTTTTTACTGCCATTCTGTATCATAACGAAAGTGAAGGGCTTTACATACCCCTCATTAACACTGTTTCTTTCACAGTTCGGAAGGCTAATTGATTGATATAGCTTTGCATGGTTTATGGGACAAGTGAGCCTCCAAGCTGATCAATTTATACACTTTGGTTTGTTTTATGCATTGTGGCTGTGTAAGAGTTAATGTTTGCTGAGGCCACAAGGATGTTGGGTAGTGTATGCATAACATTGATTCCAGATTTCCCGACAGAGCAGATGGTCCACACAGAGCAGTCCAACTTGGAAGGCTGGATATCTCGCCATACAGCATATTGGTCGGATGGCTGTCATTGGCAAACATCTCCTTGGCTGCTCTACTTCATTGCCAGCTGCACATGAAACATGCACCATTCTAGACAAAGCAACTGTTTTACTGAGACTGGCATGTTTCTAGCATATCGGGAAAGCGCTCAGATCTAAATAAACAGAGCCAAACCAGGGTATGCTATGGTATTCCCAGCCATTCTAGCTTCAGCTGGTTACTCGTAACTATTGTTGTTAGCTGTATAATCTGTGCTACATACCTGTAAATGATAGAGGAGTGCCAACATGCAGTACAGCAATGTACTGTACTTCTATAATACAGTCACTTAGAAATTAAATGTTTGTATAGTTGTTGTTTTTTTTAAATCCTTTTAACTTTTCTATGTGATGTGTATCGAGAAAGGGTATTATGTGGATTATCTTCACCAACAATGTACTTAGATCTTCAAACAAAAATGCTTTTTCCCAGGGGTTTTTTAAGGTTGTGCCATGGTTTTTTCATCATCATTGATGTGATGCCTGAAAATATGACAGTGTAATATTCTGTGTAAATGGAGCAAATTTTTATAACTATAAAATCATTTTTCTGTAGCTTTAGCATATCTTTTGTATAGGATAGTCCAAATATGGGCAGATATTTTTGTTCAGTGCAGTAAAATATGCAAATCTTTGATTTGTACCACCCTCGAGCAGGTTTAATATACACTATAGGCTCGTTTTTGTTGGAAATGCAACAACATATGCTAATATCCATTGATTTTCTTACTGACATTCTAATGTTATTCTTTTGGGCTTTTAGATGGCGCTGTGGTGCAATGTTGGTGTCTATGCTTATGTATGCTTGTCTGTGATATACCGGAAGTTCTATCTTTATATATGTTTCTTCTCTACAATGCAGTATACATACATACATGTAACGTTCTAATAAGCAAGTAAAACTTAATTCAGACCTCAAGATCTCAGTGCTTTATCTAAACACATAACCAACAGGTTATGGGCCCAGACACTAAACATAAATTATTTATAATAACGTTATAGTATACTGACTGGTATATCGTCCGGAAATCCTTGATAGAATGAATGCATTCTTTAATAACATTGTCACATTATATAATCCATGACTGTAACTGATAATGAAAATTACGTTAGAGTATGATGTGATGTTCTTATGACAAAGATTTTTATTTATACCAATCGATTACATATGGAGATTTGTGCTGTGCTGCTGTGATTGATTTTTTGCATCTGGAGGACAATGGCATATTACCCTCTTATTAAATGTTATAACAACAAAATTCCATGATGGCTTCTTGGATTTTATGCCTAATTATCACCTTTTCTTGATCCTAGAAAAAGCTCACGGTCCTACAGTGAGTACAGGACGATTGAGCACCGACCGGCAATTTACTCCCATTGAACTTGGAGGAGCCGGTACCTGCATCGCATGCGCAGTGGCAAGGCTCACTGACTGTATTAGACAGAGGCTGGGCGGTTCCCTCCTTACGGACGAGCGTCCCAGTCTCCATGACGACCGTGGCCGTTCAGTATTTTGACAGTTCTGCATATAACACTCTTATATAAAGGCTAGTGCATATCCAAGCGGCCCATGGAGGATAGTGTAGTTCACATGTCTTATTTATAAACATACACTTTGATCACTAATATGTGACAGGATTCTGACACTGCTCTTTTGCATTCCTGTATTTACTTTTTGAATGTACATGGCGGGAATATGACGGCACTAAGACGCAGAGGGGTGGGGTTATATGATTATTAGTTGTACTGTGTGTATATATAGGTGATGGTTCTTGATTATAAGGATGTTTACTCTGAGCCTGATGAACGGGAGCCTGCGCGGCTCTGAAAGCGCTCGATGACACTTTGAGTAATGACTGACATCAAATAAATGGATTTGCACTGACATCTAAGTCTCTGTCGTGCGGGTGACGTTCCTATACGTTATGCTGAATGCTGCGCCATCCGCAGTCATTGCAAGCACCCTCATAGACGTTTGGGAGTTCCGGTAAGGGGTGCTACAGGTCCTTGGACTTTCAGACACTAAACAGAACACTGCAAGGGCCATATCCAAGCTACTGAAAGATGGCAAGTAGTTCAGATATGAAGTTTGCAATCAAAAAGCTCAACAATAGCAACTACCAGCTGTGGAAGTTCAAGCTTGAAATGCTGCAAAGCAAAGCTGACTTGTGGCAAGTACTGAATACAGACAGACCCGCTAATGGACCCATGGAGGAATGGGACAAGAAGAACAGGCAAACAAACGCAATTATAAGTCTGCTAGTAAAAGAGGACCAGCTCATCCACAAGAAAAGAAATACAGCTAAAGGTATGTGGACTGCATTACAGAAACTGCATGAGCGTTCAAACCTAAACAGTAAACTATATCTGCAACGCAAGATATATAAGATGAGATTAGAAAAAGGCCAGGAAATGTGTCAACATGTGAATGTCATGCTGGAAATCATAGAACAGCTATGTGCAATTGGAGAGTAAATTAAAGGATATTTAAACCCTCATGTTTTTTTGCATATATCTACTGCTAGCAAGCAGTAGATATATACAAAAAGTTTAAAAAAAAAAAAACCCCGCTCAAACAGCAGTTTAGACTCACCTGTGTTCCGTGCACGGTCCTGTGCGAAAATGAGAAATTTCTCGAGCGGCCGCAAAGGATCTTGGGGTGCGCGCATGCGCAGTTCCCATTTTCGGCCGGGACGTGACGAGGGATGCAAGGTAAGTCTATGGACGCGTGCACCCGCATGCAGACACCGCTGGATCGAAGGGACAGAGCAGTCAGCTCTGGACCGGAGAGTCGCTGCACTGCTGGAGAGAAGGCTGAAAACATCAGAAAAGAAGAGGAAGATCGGAAAAAGAGACATAATTTAAGGGAAGTGTTAACATTAACATGGGGGGAGGGAAACATTTTTTTTGCCTTTTTAATGTCACTTTAAAGATAACCATGTGGTGGCATTACTGCTATGCAGCCTTAACGCTCTAGCAACCAGACCTGAGCACACCAAAGGAAAATGAATCGATGAATATGACAGAAGGAAAGAAAATATGCACAATGAATAAAATGAGAAAGCCCTTAAGGTGCATAAGAGTGGAGAGCAAAACAAAGAAAGAGTGTGTTTTCTCTAAAAAAAAAAAAAAAAGGGGTGGGTTTTCTTAAAAAAAAAAAAAAAAGACGGGTCACCTAAAAAAGGTCTGTTCAAGCTGGAAAGCCCATCATAGAAAGCGAGAGGCACCTGCAAGAGAAAGAGATAAGGCGGCTACAAAGGAAACTGCAGGCACCTCATGGAGCACTATCTTAAAAGTGACTCGGAACAGTATACCATGTGTTGACTCATACTCAGAGTATCCTCATGAAAAATGTACTGTATATTCCAGACCTAGATGGAAGCCTTCTATCAGAGAAAACCTTTGCTAATAATGGGCTTACAGTTCAATTCCGAGGTGATGAATGTACAATCCAAAACAATAGGCAAATCTTCGCAAAAGGAAAATTTTCATCATCACTGCAGATAAACAAGTCAACCGAAACCCAGAAGCCATAAAAGACATTATAAAGAGAGGCTTATCAGAAGATATAACTGTACTGCTGTGCCAAATGCTCATGACATGCAAATGCTGTATGGAAGCAAAGGCCACACATGCCCCACTTCCACAGGCCACCCAAAAAAAGACCACCCACCCCATGGAGCTCATACACCACGATGTGTGCGGACCAATAAAAACTCCCACATCAGGCGGGAACAGATATGTACTGACTTTCATTGATGATTATTCCAGGTACACTACAAGTTATCTGATGAAGCACAAGGATAGCCATGTCCAGCAACAAATTTCAACGGAAACCAGGAATTATACACACTGACAACGGAGGGCAATACATCAGTAAGGAAGTAGAATCATATCTGAAGAAACAAGGTATAGTACACCAGACCACCACTTCCTGCAGTTCGGTCTGGACCAGTCTCTGACTCTCGGCACCATCAAGGTTCAAGTCTCTGCTCTTCATTCTCTTTCAGAGAACGTTGGCCACTTAGTCTTTGATTAGGCGTTCTCCCGTGTGGTTTACTTTGTCCATTCCCGTGTCTCCCCTTGGTTCTCTCTGTGCTTCAGAAGCTGTAGTTTGAACCAGTTAGAGATATTCCTCTTTCTACTCTCACCCACAAGGTTGCTTTGCAGCTATCACCTATGTGAAGTGAGTATCTGGACCGGCAACCTTGTGTTGCAAAGAACTCTTTATGGGTCTACAAGACTAAAGGTGACAGAGAGAATTATGTGACAATGGGTGCAAAAGGCAAAAGTAAGAGCGCTTACATTTTAACTCATGGGACCAGAGGCTGGAGGGTCTACTACCCTCTTCCCACCACAGATCCGACTGACAGCTGACTACTTTCAGCCCACGGCTCCCGCACACTGCTCCAGTCTGTGCCGTCAGTGACTGAGCATCACGATCCACAGCCGCGGCCACAGCAGTTCTGCCTGCTTCTGACACCGCTGATTTTCTCCCGCACTACTCGGCCCCTGGACTCACACAGCGGGCCACGGACTGAGTCCCTATTCTTGTGGCTTCTCTCTTCCCCCCTCTCACCCTCGCCCACAGCCTCCTCTCCCCGTGTGGATGCACATCCTCCGGCACACCAGTTCCAGATAGACACCACGGATGACCCGATCCTCCACACCGGCTGTCCAGCCTCTGGTCCCATGAATTAAAATGTAAGTGCCCTTTCTTTTGCCTTTTGCACCCATTGTCACATAATTCTCCCTGTCACCTTCCCTGGGTCTTCCGACCCGGCCAGTTAGCCCACCTAGCGTTGCGCCCTTTTTGTTTTTTGTTTCTAGTTTGCATATCCACAGGCACTTCTCCTGGGCTTCAGGGCTGCACACTATTTAGGGTCACACATTGTTTACCCCCTCAACATCATTACAAGAGCGCTGTTTGTACGATTTGTGTCTTCTTGCCTAAGGTAGTCTCTACCTTCCACTTCAACAAGGACATTGCTTTCCTGTCTGTTTGTCCAGCTTAGGTTCATCTAAAGGAAATTTCCCTCCATTGTCTGGAAGTAGTTTGTGCTATGCGAGTCTACCTCTCAGCCATTGCATCTGTCAGACTGATTTTGTCATTCTGAATGGCCCCTTGAAAGGACGTCCTTAAGGCAGTTCATTGAGCTGCAGGCAGTCTCAAGTTTTTATTTGTTATTTTTGACCTGTTAGCAATTGTTTGCTTTGTTGCCCACCTCTCGGATGGACTGCTTTTGGATGTCCTGAAGGTTAAAGACTTCCTAAGTCCGATAGACGAGAAAGAATACAAGAGTTTTGTACTCACAATAGAAAATGATTTTACCGTGAGTACAAAAACTATAATTGAGAGTGCATTGACCTAGCACATTATCATCAAAAACATTTATTGACTAAAAACAAGAATTCACTATTAGTCTTAGAAAGGGCCAGGCATGTAAACATCCAGAAGCAGATCTTTGTGGAGCTTGATGGCACAATGTCCAGCTGTATTTTTCCAAGATGAAGTCCTTCTTGCTGTCTGTGCAATGTTTCTAATGGTAATTAACTAGTTCCTTGGTTCTCAACTGGTGGGACCCGCCCCCTTCTTCAGTGGGTTGCGGCATCCTTACTGCATAGAGCTAGCCCTCCTGCCCCATTCAGCAGGGAGCCACCTCAGCATGGCGGATTTATAATAGGTAGTACAGCATGCTCAGAGACTGCGGAGAGAGGTAGGCTGAGGAGATCTAATTTATTATAAGTTGTTATTCACCTGTTCAGATTTCAACTCCTTCTCACTAGGCATGTATTCCAGGGCAACAGACTGATGTACCAGATAAAGACTAGAATAGGAAGATGTCACTACTGTTAACCTGCCAGATAAATCATATAAAATGATGCTAAACTGTTGAATATCTACCACAGATTAAACCCCTGGTTCTCAACTAATGTAGCTTGCTTGTGTGGTGCCCCCTCCCTGCACCACCACCTGCCGTGGTTTTCGTTGTCCTCCAGCAAATCTATTCAGGATGGAGAGCGGGAGCAGACCGAGGAGTGTCCATCCCCGAACTGCTCTAAGTGATCAGTGAGACAGGGAGCGCTGTGCTCTCAGTGCTTCCTGTCTCAGCTGTGACAAACTGGGCTACACAAGTAATCGAGCACAATGCTATGCTTGATCACCTGTGTTAGAGTGCATGGGAGATATCAGGGGTCTAATAGAAACAATTTTTGTGTCATGACTTAATGACCAAGGACAATTGTGGGTCCTGAGGTTACAGATCCAGGTATATGCACTTTTTCTATTTATGTGTTCACTTTTTGCTTCAGGAATTGCACCTTTATCTACACCCCAGTTTCAGAGTGGCAGATCAGCATTTTTTTCTCTGAAGGCCGGTCACCTGCATTGTTTCCTACACTGTTGCAGTCTCCTGCATGCTGCTCTACAGTTACAATAGAAAGCTGTCTCTGGTTATCTTTGATCAGCCATACAAGTATCTGCTTTGTCTGCTTTCTTTGATGTAACTGGAGAGTAGAGTGTCAAACTATGTATTTCAGCTGGCTAATTTGCATCAAAATAATTTGTATCAGACTATTTTTGAACAAGTTTATTGACAATAATCAGCTGTACATTGCTTTCTCTCCCGTTCATTGAAGGACACGGGGAACAGATCGGAGATCATGTACTGTAGGGTAATATCGCCACCTGCAGGAGAAGGACGCTAGGCACAAAAAACTAAAGACCAATTACAGCCTAGGGGCGGCCCCTGCCGGTGGCCAAACCCCCCACCTGCTGACAAGTCTCCAGTTTTTTGCCTAGCGTCAGGAGTAAGGAGCTAAGAATTT